TAGCTGGGCGGTGGGGTGGATTGGGGCACCTGTAATCCAGTTTACTTGGGAGGCCTGAGGCATGTGAGAATAGTTGAATCAGGGAGGGCAGGGGGTTGCAGTGAGCTAAGATCACGCTATTGCACTCAGTCTAAGGACAGAACGAGACTCTGTCTAAATAAAAAATAAAAAAGTAAATAAATAGGGCGGGCGGCGCGGCTGGCTCACGGCTGTAATCCCAGCACTTTGGGAGGCCAAGGCGGGGGATCACGAGGTCAGGAGATTGAGACCATCCTGGCTAACACCGGTGAAACCCCGTTCTCTATAAAATACATTAAAAAAATTAGACGGCCGTGCCCCCTGGGGTGGCGGGCGCCTGTAGTCCCAGCTACACAGGAGGCTGAGGCAGCAGAATGGTGTGAATCCGGGAAGTGGAGCTTGCAGTGAGTGGAGATCACGCCACTGCACTCCAGCCTGGGCGACAGAGCAAGATTCCGTCTCAAAAATAAAAAATAAAATAAAAAGTAAATAAATAAATAGATTTGATGTAGAGATGTAGTCTTGCTTTACTGCCTAGGTTGGTCTGGGACTCCTGGCCTCAGAGATCCTCCTACCTCAGCCTCCCAAAGTGTCAGGATTATAGGTGTGAGCCACCACGCCCGGCCAAGACTGTGCCTTTTAGAGGCTGGATGTGAGGGAACAGGTGCACCAGGAGCTCTGTGTGAGGCCTCCCCAGGGCCCCTCCCACCCTGGGCCCCACCTTCTCGAAGCACCACTCGTTCATAGGGCGGGTAGTGGCCCTGTCGGGTCAGAGCTGAGAGGTCCTCGCGGCTTCGCTGGGTGGTCTTCTTGGCTCCTCGACGAAGACCCCGCAGCCGCCAGAACTCGGCCCGAGCATTGGAGCCTGCGGAGGAGCCAGGCCCGATTCCCACGGCCCTCTGGGCAGCTTCCAGGCTGGCCAGCTGCTCCGCCCTGGGGAGGAGAGGGGACAGTACTGAGCATTGGGGTCAGCAGCATCACGGCCCCAAAGGTATCCTCGTCCTACCCCTCAGAGCCTGTGGACGGACCACTTTGTATGGCAAATGGGACTCTGCAAATGAGATGATGATGATGCTTATTATTTTGGGTTTTTTTGAGACAAAGTCTTGCTCTGTTGTCCATGCTGGAGTGGGCTGGAGTGCAGTGGCACAATCTCAGCTCACTACAACCTCTGCCTCCTGGGTTCAAGCGATTCTCCTGCCTCAGCCTCCCGAGTAGCTGGGATTACAGGCGCCCACCACCGTGCCCGGCTAATTTTTTTTTTTTTTGAGACGGAGTCTCACTCTGTCGCCCAGGCTGGAGTGCAGTGGCGAGATCTCGGCTCACTGCAAGCTCCGCCTCCCGGGTTCACGCCATTCCCCTGCCTCAGCCTCCCGAGTAGCTGGGACTACAGGCGTCTGTCACCAACCTGGCTTTTTATTTTTCTGTATTTTTAGTAGAGATGGGGTTTCACCGTGTTAGCCAGGATGGTCTCAATCTCCTGACCTCGTGATCCACCCGCCTTGGCCTCCCAGAGTGCTGGGATTACAGGCGTGAGCCACCGCGCCCGGCCGATAGCGAGCCCATTTCTAATGGGGAGACTGAGGCTGAAGCAGAAGGGCCCCGCTGCAGGGGTGCGCAGTCCCCACCTGCTCTGGTTGGGAATGATGCCCCGCTCTTGCTCCCGCAGGTCACGACCCATGCGCACCGCCAGCCAGTGGCCTCCTCGCACGTGGCTCTGCTCGGGGCCCGGGTACAGCGTGTCCAGCACGTGGAAGACATCGCCACGGGTGAAGCCCAGGCCGGATGGTGGGCTGGGCTCCAGCTCAAAGTGAGTGCGGATGTAGAAGGAGTCGCCCACGCGGGACTGCACCATTTTCCAGAAAACTGGGGAGAGCAGAAGGCCGCATGAGCTGCCTGATCTGAGCCCTCCCCTGCGGAGAGTGGGTCTGGCTGGAGGGAACCCACCCAGGAGACTTGGGCACTGTCCCTGCAGGGGCTGGGGAGAGGGATGGAGGGTGCAGAGATGCAGATTCAACCACACCCCTGCACTCGCCACCAGGCCACACAGCCAGGTCCCCCGCCGACACACACAGGCACACCCACATCCACGCGCACTCACTGTCCTGCTTCCGCTGCGTCACCAGCTCCATCTCCTCGCCCGGTGGCAGCCCCAGCAGGAACTGCACCGCCTCCTCCCGTGTCAGGTTCTGGAATGGCACGTCATTCACCTGCCAGAAAGCAGGCGCAGCTATAGACCAAGCTCCGGTACCTCCTGGCCGTGCATGAGATCCTGGACCTTCCTCTGGGCAGAACTCAGCCCCAATGGCTTCTAGAGCTGCTTCCAAGGGCCCCGGCAGTTCCCGGAGGGCTTTCTGACTGGGGTATCACCCTATGGCTGTGTGATGTGTGACACAGATAGCTGGTGGCATCATAAGGATACAAGGGTTTTGACACAGAAACAGGGGCACAGGCACTGCGCTGGTCCTCAGATAACCAAGTCATGGTGGGTTGTCAGTATCAAAACATGGGAACAGAGATCATGGCATGGAGCTCAGTGGAAACTGTGAAATGCTCAAAAGAATTCAGACATAATCACAGTAGTCACAGGGTCGTGACAGGGACAACAATATATGGACACACAGTGGGTCACAGATGCCTACCATCAGGATCATGACAAGGACAACAATACACGGACGCAGCCAATGGACACAGCCACCTGCTCTCAGGGTCGCGACAGGGACAGCAATATACAGACACAGCCACCTGCTCTCAGAGTCATGACAGGGACAGCAATATACAGACACAGCCACCTGCTCTCAGGGTCATAACAGGGACAGCAATATATGTGCACAGCCTGTGGACACAGACACCTATCTCAGGGTCATGACAGAGACAGCAATATATAGACACAGCCTGTGGGCACAGACACCTACTCTCGGGGTCATGACATGGATGTCAAGGTTAGAATCCCACAAGCAAACTGAGTAGAAATACACTAAAAAATACCATGACCCTCAGGCAACTTGGCATCAAGTTGTCACCCAGCCAGTGGGCTGAGGACATGGAAAGTGGGGAGCTGTGACTCCCTCACGAATCACAACTCACACTGCAAGGTCAAGACACAAACAAGGTCATGAGAGCAAACTGGGGGTGCGACTTGGTGAGTGAACTTGTGCAAGGGACAGGGGAGATAGCCTGGGGATGAGATGAGGCAAGGACAGAGATGGGGGGATGATGAAGGGCTGGAGGTAGTTATGACACTGTTATGAAGGCAGGACCCAAGCAAGGTCACAACACAGACATAGGGGGTGGTGGCACAGAAAATGACTGTACATGGACATGGAGATCATACAAGAATGATCCGTGACCTCACCACACGATTGGGACATACGAGACGGTCATGACGCAGTCAACACAGCCACGTCAGGAACAAGAGGATTGTGACCCAGACAAGGTCATGACATAGGCAATGAGGTTATGGCCCAGACAAAGTCCTGATGTTGATAACAAGGAGACTGTGACATTGATAACAAGGTTGTCACATGGACAAGGTCATATGACATGAACAAGAAGATTGTGGCCGGGCGCGGTGGCTCACGCCTGTAATCCCAGCACTTTGGGAGGCCGAGACGGGCGGATCACAAGATCAGGAGATCGAGACCACGGTGAAACCCCGTCTCTACTAAAAATACAAAAAATTAGCGGGTGTGGTGGCGGGCGCCTGTAGTCCCAGCTACTCAGGAGGCTGAGGCAGGAGAATGGCGTGAACCCGGGAGGCGGAGCTTGCAGTGAGCCGAGATTGCGCCACTGCACTCCGGCCTGGGCGACAGAGCGAGACTCTGTCTCAAAAAAAAAAAAAAAAAAAAGAAGATTGTAACCCAGGATGGGCACAGTGGCCCACACCTGTAATCCCAGCACTTTGGGAGGCTGAGGTGGGTGGATCACTTGAGGCCAGGAGTTCAAGACCAGCCCGGCCAACATGGTGAAACCCCATCTCTACTAAAAATACAAAAATTAGCTGGGCATGGTGGCGCACGCCTGTAATCCCAGCTACTTGGGAGGCTGAGGCAGGATGATCCCTTGAACCCGGGAGGCGGAGGTTGTAGTGAGCCGAGATCACACCACTGCACTCCAGCCTGGGTGTCAGAGCAAGACTCCATCTCAAAAAAAAAAAGTTAGCCAGGCGCAGTGGCTTATGCCTGTAATCTCAGCTACTTGGGAAGCTGAGGCAGGTGGATCACCTGAAGTCAGGAGTTTGAGACCAGCCTGGCCAATATGGCGAAAACTCATCTCTACTAAAAATATAAAAATCAGCCGGGCGTGGTGGTGGGCACCTGTAATCCCAGCTACTTAGGAGGTGAGGCAGAAGAATCGCTTGAACCTGGCAGGCAGAGGTTGTGGTGAGCCGAGATCGCACCACTGCACTGCAGCCTGGGCAACAAGAGCAAAACTCCGTCTCAAAAACAAACAAACAAAAAAGATGAACCCGGATACGGTCAAGGCACAGACAAGGAGGTTGTGACTGGACAATGACGTCATGACCTGGAAGATAAGGTCGTGACATCAGCCAGATCGTGACACAGCCAAGGGGATATTAAAATGTTGAAATACACATCTGGGGTCTCAACAGTCCCCAGGGTGGACCCAAGGGGAGGACCCACAAGTTGTAGCAAACAAGGGCAGGACCTAGCACACGACACGCCCATGACCGGTGGGGCTGGCCAGCTGCCCCGGTAGTACCTGCAAGATCTGATCTCCCTCCTGGATGCCCTGTCCATCAGCCGGGCTGCCCGCCTGCACCCCAGACACGAAGATGCCCACGTCATTGCCCCCGGCCAGCCGCAGCCCGATGCTCTTGCCCTTGAGGAAGCGGACCACCCGCGTGTCGGGGCTGTACCTGCAAGGGGAGGTAGAGGTGGGGTCAGACCAGAGTGGGCGGACAGGGGGAGGGCTCAGCATTGTCCTTGGGAAAGCCCCCACCCCCTCCAGGCCTTGGTTTCCCTCAAATCCCCACTTAATTGTCCCACTCAACACAAGGGATACAAGCAGGCAGGACTGCGCTGATGAGGGAGGCAGCCTGGGATGCAGGAGTTTCGAGCGGGTGGGCTTTCTTCTGGCGCACATACCCGCGATCCTCCATGCTCTGGCTGCTGGGCACTCTGTAGATGTCATAGCTGCTTTCCCTGGGCAACTCTGAAAGGGAAAAGCCAGTCTTTCCCCAGCACACTGGCTCGGTCCAGTCTCCAAACCTTTGCTTTATGTCCTTATCCTGGAAGGACCATCACCCACCTCGAGTCCTTCTCAGGAAACCATGTCTCACCACTTAGGCTCAGGCCAACCTCCCCCGGCTCTGCCTGGCACAGCCTTGCTGTCGGGGATCAGAAATATCAGGGATTGGCCAGGCGCGGTGGCTCATGCCTGTAATCCCAGCACTTTGGGAGGCCGAGGTGGGTGGATCACGAGGTCAGGACTTCAAGACCAGCCTGGCCAAGATGGTGAAACCCCGTCTCTACTAAAAATACAAAAAAATTAGCTGGGCGTGGTGGCGGGCGCCAGTAATCCCAGCTACTCCGGAGGCTGAGGCAGAGAATTGCTTAAACCTGGAGGGGCGGAGGTTTCAGTGAGCTGAGATGGCGCCTCTGCACCCCAGCCTGGGCGACAGAGGAAGACTGTGTCTCAAAAAAGAAGTATCAGGGATGGGGTGCTCAGAGTCACCACCCACCTGCCTGTTGCTCACCTGGTTCTGAGATGGTTCTGGAATCGACTGAACTTTCCCGCCGAAGCCGGGGGCTCTCCCTGGTGGGGAACACATTGGGAGTGAAGTAGGGGTAGATGTCAAGGGGCCATTTTAAAAAGAATTTTAGGCCAGTTGTGGTGGTTCACGCCTGTAATCCTAGCATTTTGGGAGGTCAAGGCGGGTGGATCACCTGAGGTCAGGTGGCCAACAAGGTTAAACCCCGTCTCTACAAAAATACAAAAATTAGGCCAGGCGCGGTGGCTCAAGCCTGTAATCCCAGCACTTTGGGAGGCCGAGACGGGCGGATCACGAGGTCAGGAGATCGAGACCATTCTGGCTAACAGGGTGAAACCCCGTCTCTACTTAAAAAATACAAAAAACTAGCCGGGCATGGTGGCGGGCGCCTGTAGTCCCAGCTACTCGGGAGGCTGAGGCAGGAGAATGGCGTGAACCCGGGAGGCGGAGCTTGCAGTGAGCTGCGATCTTGCCACTGCACTCTAGCCTGGGCGACAGAGCCAGACTCCGTCTCAAAAAAAAAAAAAAAAAAAAATACAAAAATTAGCCAGGCATGATGGTGGGTGTCTGTAATCCCAGCTACGCAGGAGGTTAAGGCAGGATAATTGCCTGAACCCAGGAGGCAGAGGTTGCAGTGAGCCAAGATCACGCCACTGCACTCCAGCCTGGGCGACAGAACAAGACCTTGTCTCCAAAAAAACAAATAAATAAACAAAATAAACAGAATTTTAATTTATCTGGGCTGGGCGTGGTGGCTCACACGTGTAATCCCAGCACTTTGGGAGGCTGAGACAGGCCAAATGCTTGAGCCCAGGAGTTCAAGACCAGCCTGGGCAACATAGCTGGGCAACACAGCCCCCATGTCTACCAAAAATACGAAAATTAGCCAGTCTCACATGACTCGGTCTCAAAACAAATAAATAAATAGAGGAAAAAAAAATTTTTTTTTGAGACGGAGTTTTGCTGTGGTCGCCCAGGCTGGAGTGTAATGACATGATGTTGGCTCACTGCAAACTCCATTTCCTGGGTTCAAGCGATTCTCCTGCCTCAGCCTCCCAAGCAGCTGGGATTACAGGAACCTGGCACCACGCCGGGCTAATTTTGGTATTTTAGTAGAGACAGGGTTTCACCATGTTGGGCCAGGCTGGTCTCGAACTCCTGTCCTCAGATGATCCACCTTCCTCGGCTTCCCAAAGTGCTGCGATTACAGGCGTGAGCCACCGCTCCCAGCCTAAGGCAGAGTTCGATACTAAGAAGTGGGGTGCTGCTGTAACCAACACCTACAAATGTGGACACGGCTTTGGAGCTGGGTAATGGGTAGAGGCTGGAGGTATTTGGAAGCACATGCTAGAAATACAGGTCTGCATCCTCAAGGTTACCCCCAGTTGGAAAGCTACGCCCGCATTCCCCTCTCCCTCCTACCGACTATTCTGACGGGTGATACTTACACGGGAGAGTCGGTCTGGCTGGCCTCGGGGCTCCGCTGAGCATGCCGGGGTGGTGGCGGGATGTGGGATGGTGGCGCCTGCGATAGCTCCGAGGTGAGGTCCGAGATGTCTGCAGGGGGAGAGGACATCTCATCAGCCATGGTCACGCCTTCCGGACTGGACCCATTTTACAGAGGGGCATATCAAGATCCCTCTAAACAAAGGGCCCCAGACCAAAGTCAGAAGCTCAGTTAGAATATTCAGCTCTGGAGGTGGGCACGGTGGCTCACGCCTATAATTCCAGCTACTCAGGAGGCTGAGGCATGAGAATCTCTTGAACCCAGGAGGCGGAGTTTGCAGTGAGCCAAGATTGCCCCCCTGTACTCCTGACTTTCTGTGTGGCCTTCGGCAAGTTCCTGCCACTCTCTGAGCCTCTAGGGACCAGGCTCACTGGTTCGTCCTTGGCCCTGTCTGGGGCTTCCCGCCTTCCCTGCCGTCCATTCAACCCCCTCCCAGGGCCTATCCTCTGCGTCCTCACCCTCCAACGGCGAGCTGTCGCTGTCACTGACGGCAGGCGGAATGTTCACCAGGAACTGCCCGCGATCTCTCAGCACCAGCAGGCTTAGCTTCCCTTCCGACTTCTCGATCAGTCGCCGGGTGTCACTCAGTGACAGGTTCTGGCTGGACACCCCGTTGATCTGAAAGGGACCAGGAATGAAAGAGAGGAAGTGAGTTAATGAGAGAAGGGAGACAGTAGAAACAGTTTGGTGGGGGAACTAGAAACAGACAATTCCCCCAGGGGTTGCTAAAAACAGACACACCCTAAGGAAAACGTTAGAATTGGATTCCTGCTGTGAGTGGAGACCACACCAAGAACTGAGCACCGAATTCTAGAAACAGAAAATGTTCCTTAGAACATCCAGGGGTGGGAGACACTGGAGAAAATGAGAAACAGGTTGACTCTCCTTTCTTACCAAAAGTGGAAATTTCTCAGGGGATACTAGGAACAGATGTGAGGGTGACATTATAAACAACTCTAATTGGAGGAGAAGGAGTATCAGATACTTAAAAGATACTAGAAATACCCAATCTTCTGGGACATAACTAGAAGCAGACATCTAGGGCTGGGTGCGGTGGCTCACGCCTGTAATGCCAGCACTTTGGGAGGCAGAGGCAGACGGATCACTTGAGGTCAGGAGTTCGAGACCAGCCTGGCCAACGTGGTGAAACCCTGTCTCTACTAAAAATACAAAAATTAGCCGGGCGTGGTGGTGGGCGCCTGTGGTCCCAGCTACTCAGGAGACTGAGACAGAAGAATCACTTTAACCCGGGAGGCAGAGGTTGCAGTGAGCCAAGATCCCACCACTGCACTCCAGCCTGGGTGACAGAGAAACACTCCATATCAAAAAGGAAAGAAAAGGAAGGAAGGAAGGAAGGAAGGAAGGAAGGAAGGAAGGACGGACGGAAGGAAGGAAGGAAGGAAGGATCATCTGGAGGTAGATTAGAAACACACAATTCCTAGAAAGAACTTAATGTCAGCCGGGTGCGGTGCCTCATGCCTGTAATCCCAGCACTTTGGGAGGGCGGCCGAGATCGCGCCATTGCACTCCAGCCAGGGCAACAAGAGCAAAATTCCATCTCAAAAAAAAAGAAAGAAAGAACTTAATGTCATCTCCAGTAGCCCCAAAAACCCACTTCTAACATTCTCCCTTGGGAGGTTTATTTTCAGTAACCCTGGGGATTGTTGGTTTCTTCTAATTTAGTTTTGGTTTTTTTACTTTTTTTTTCTTTTTTGAGACGGAGTCTCGCCCTGTCGCCCAGGCTGGAGTGCGGTGGGCGGATCTCAGCTCACTGCAAGCTCCGCCTCCTGGGTTCACGCCATTCTCCTGCCTCAGCTTCCAGAGTAGTTGGGACTACAGGTGCCCACCACTACTCTCAGGTATTTTTTTTTTTTTTTTGTATTTTTAGTAGAGACGGGGTTTCACTGTGTTAGCCAGGATGGTCTCAATCTCCTGACTTTGTGATCCGCCCGTCTTGGCCTCCCAAAGTGTTGGGATTACAGGCGTGAGCCATCACGCCCGGCCACCTTTTTTTTTTTTTTTTAAATAGAGATGGCCATCTTGCTATGTTGCCCAGGTTGGTCTCAAACTTCTGGGCTCAAGCAGTCCTCCTATCTCAGCCTCCTACAGTACTGGGATTACAGGCATAAGCCACCACACCTGGCATTTTATTTATTTATTTATTTATTTATTTATTTATTTTTGAGACAGGGTCTTGCTCTGTCGCCCAGGCTGGAGTGCAGTGGCATCATCACAGCTCAAGATCACTGTAGCCTTAACTTCCCAGGCTCAGGTGATCCTCCCACCTCAGCCTCCAAGTAGCTGGGACCACAGGTGTGTGGCACCACTAATTTTCTTTTTTGTAGAGATGGGGTCTCACTCTGTTGCCCAGGCTGGTCTTGAATTCCTGGGTTCAAGAGATCCTCCTGCCTCGGCCTCCCAAAGTGCTGGGATTATAGGCATGAGCCACCAGGCCTGGCTCTGGGATTGTAAATTTCTAGTACCCCCACCAAGTTCTCTATTTCTGGTGTCTGCTGCAGTACACTAGAAACACAGTTGCTCAGGTCACTAGAAACAAATAACTTAGCCAGAAGCGGTGGCTCACGCCTGTAATCCCAACACCTTGGGAGGCCGAGATGGGTGGATTGCCTGAGGTCAGGAGTTCGAGACCAGCCTGGCCAACGTGGTGAAACCCCGTGTTTACTAAAAATACAAACATTAGCCGGGTGTGATGGTGGGCACCTGTAATCCCAGCTACTCGGGAGGCTGAGGCAGGAGAATCACTTGAACCTGGGAGGCGGAGGTTGCAGTGAGCCGAGATTGTGCCACTGCACTCCAGCCTGGGCAACAGAGCAAGACTCTGTCTCAAAAAAAAATAGAAAAGAAACAGATAACTTTTTAAAGACACTGAAAATAACCAGCTGAAAGCAGTTTGGAAATCAAACACTAGGAGTCACTAGAAACAGATTTTTGGGGGAAGAATCCAGAAAGAAACCATCCTTTAGGGCAGGGCAGCTCCCCTAAACATGGTGACTGGGTCATTAGCATCCAGCCATCTAGGGTAGGTCCAGGAATCAGCTGCCCACATGATTCTCTGATGCACATCAAAGCTAGAGGGTATTAGAAACAGACAACTCCATGAGGATACTAGAAACCGACATTTGGCCATGGATTAGCAGTAGCTGGGGAGAAGGGTGTTTTTTTTGTTTTGTTTTTTTGTTTGTTTTGAGATGGAGTCTCGCTCTGTCTCCCAGGCTGGAGTGCAGTGGCGCTCAGCCTCCCAAGTAGCTGAGACTACAGGCACCCGCCATTGTGCCCGGCTGATTTTTTTATATTTTTTTTAGTAGAGACGGGGTTTCACCGTGTTAGCCAGGATGATCTCGATCTCCTGACCCCCGTGTTAGCCAGGATGATCTCCATCTCCTGACCTCATGATCCGCCCGCCGCGGCCTCCCAAAGTGCTGCAATTACAGGCGTGAGCTACCACGCCCGGCCAAGAAAGGTGGTTTTATGCGTGGCCATCTGCAACCTTTGAGATACAAGCAACAACACTTAAGGTAAATGGTTTGGGGCCCAGCTCTGCTGTCGTTGCTGTATGACTCAGTGGCACTGCCCGTCCCCACCCTGCCTTGGTCTCCCTGCCCATAGGATAAGCAGCCCGGCCTCACCTGTAGAATGAGATCTCCTTCATGCAGCCCACGGTGCCGGGCAGCCAGGCCCGAATCTGTAATGTGCTTGATGAAGATCTGACTGCCCAGCTTGACACCGAACTCTGTAAGGGGGGAGGAGGGAAACTGAGGCAGGACTCTGGAAACAGGTGCCTGGGGGCATTCTCCTGTTGCAAGGACAGAGTCCAGGTGTGGGCCCTCCCTTCCTAACACTTCGATGGCATCATAATGAGAACGGCGATGTCGCCTGTGGGATCTAAGATCTGAAAGTGTCAATGACACCTCCAGAGGGCGGGGACACCACGTCACCTGCCGCTCGTGATGTTGCCATGCCCAGGCTAAGGGTATGATATTGCTCCTGACATCATAATTGTTTCAATTTTTATTTTTTATTTTATTTTACTTTTTTTTTGAGACGGAGTCTCGCTCTGTCACCCAGACTGGAGTGCAGTGGCCGGATCTGAGCTCACTGCAAGCTCCACCTCCCGGGTTTACGCCATTCTCCTGCCTCAGCCTCCCGAGTAGCTGGGACTACAGGCGCCCGCCACCTCGCCCGGCTAGTTTTTTTTTTTTTTTAGTAGAGATGAGGTTTCACTGTGTTAGCCAGAATGATCTCGATCTCCTGACCTCATGATCCGCCCGTCTCGGCCTCCCAAAGTGCTGGGATTACAGGCTTGAGCCAGCGCGCCCAGCCCAGGCCTCCTCTTATAAGGACGCTGTGGTGATATTGGGCCTCCCACATCATCCAGGATCACCTCCGAGCTCAGGGTCCTTCACTCCATCCCACATGCTGAGTCCCTTTTGCTAAGTGAGGTGGCCTAAGCAGCGGTTCTGGGGATCAGGGAGGGGACATGGTGATAAAATGGTTCTGGGCCTCAAGTGGCTGACAGGTGATATGGCTTAACCCAGCCCAGAATTAGGGACCACCAGGTTCACAGAGAAAGAGCTAGACAGAATATATGAAATACAGACAGCGAGAGGGACAGAAAAGGGGAAAAGTGGGGATTTGTGGTGGGGGGAGTGAGGAGCAAGAAGATGCCAGGTGTAGTTGTAGCCTCCAGGCCGGACACGGTAGCTCACGCCTGCAATACCAGCACTATGGGAGGCCAAGGCAGGGGATCACCTGAGGTCAGGAGTTCGAAACCAACCTGGCCAACATGGTGAAACTCTGTCTGTTCTAAAAATACAAAAATGAGCCAGGCATGGTGGCGAGTGCCTGTAGTCCCAGTCACTAGGAAGGCTGAGGCAGGAGGAGGGCTTGAAACCGTTGCCCACCCAACCACGGTGCCCTGTGTCCAGGTCCGATCGCGCCTGACCTCCCGCCTCACCTTCGCCGTCTCTCCTCTTTACCAGAACCGACTTCACGGGCTTCATCTGCACATCCTGCTGCGGCAGCCGCTTAAAGCCAGACACCAGGGCCAACCCGTTGGCCTCAGAGTCACCACCCGGGCTCCTACGCCCATGGCTGCTGGCCCGGCCCCGGCGACCAGGCCTCTGCCGGCGGGAGCGCTCGTCCCAGGAGCGGCCGGAGCCACTGGATGAGTCACCATCATAGCCCTGGCCCTGGTCCACGTCCTCCACCCGGTGTGGCCCATCGTCCTCGTCCGAGTCCCGATGCCCTGGGCCGGAGGGGCTGGCCTTGGTGGTGGTGGGCAGCTGGATCCTCCGGGGACGTTTCACTGTCTGTTAGAGGAAGGGACAGGAGGGCTCAGCTACAGGAAGGGCTGGGGGAGGCTCTGTTCAGCCCCCAGGTGACCCTGGGGGACACTAGCCTCTCTCTGGACCTCAATGTCCAAAGTGTAAGATGAGAAGATGACTCGTTGCTCTCTGAAGCTTACAACCTCTACAGCGGCAGGACCCAGGCTGGGGTCAGAGACGCCGGCCATGCCAGGGGCTGCCTACTCACAATGTTGGCCATCTTGGCGCAGGTCTTGAGTGTCTGAATGACAAACGTGGAGGTGGCATTTTCCATGGAGACCCCGTTCACCATAACGATGTGGTCACCTGTCCTGAGAGAGGTGGGTGGGTCTTACGGAGGAGGCTTTGCAGGGGAGACCCTCGTAACAAGCCCTCACTGAGGAGGGGGTGTCTCTGGAACCTCCAGGTCTACAAGGCCTGGTTCTAATTCATTGGCGTCCCTAGGTTCACAAAGACATTCATCCTTCTGGGCCTCCGTTTTCTCATCTGTAAAATGGGGCCAATTGTAGAACCTACTATAATCATAGAGTGGAAGCAACATTTTTTTTTTTTTTTGAGACAGGGTCTCACTCTGTTGCCCAGGCTGGATTGCAGTAGCACGATCTCAATTCACTGCAACCTCCACCTCCTCATTTCAAATGATCCTCCTGCCTCAGCCTTCCTAGTAGCTGGGACTACAGGTGCCCGCCACCACACCTGGCTAAGTTTTGTACTTTTTAGTTTTTTTAATTTAATTTAATATTATTTTATTTTATTTTATTTTTGAGACAGAGTCTTGCTCTGTCGCCCAGGCTGGAGTGCTGTGGCGCAATCTCGGCTCACTGCAAGCTCTGGTTCCCGGGTTCACGCCATTCTCCTGCCTCAGCCTCCCAAGAAGCTGGGACTACAGGGGCCCGCCACCACGCCCGGCTAATTTTTTGTATTTTTTTTTTGAGACGGAGTTTTGCTCTGTCCCCCTGGCTGGAGTGCAGTGGCGCGATCTCGGCTCACTACAAGCTCCGCCTCCTGGGATCACGCCGTTCTCCCACCTCAGCCTCCTGAGTAGCTGGGACTACAGGCGCCCACTACTGCGCCTGGCTAATGTGTTTTTTTTTTTGTATTTTTAGTAGAGATGGGGTTTCACCGTGGTCTCGATCTCCTGACCTTGTGATCCGCCCGTCTCAGCCTCCCAAAGTGCTGGGATTACAGGCTTGAGCCACCGCGCCCGGCCCTCTCTAGCTCTTTCTCTCTGAACCTGGTGGTCCCTAATTCTGGGCTGAGCTGAGCCATATCACCTGTCAGCCACTTGGGGCCCAGAACCATTTTATCAACACAATTCCAAGAAGCTTCAAACCCTTAAAGACTCAGGACACTGGGTCTCCTTCCCTCCTGCCAAAAAAAAAAAAAAGATGGTTTCCAGGACTTTATGTTCCAAAAGGGCCCTGGGGCCACTATGACCCCAGGAACTGCCGTGAAGAACCCGGAAGTACCTTAGGGAAGTGAGGCTCAAGTCTCTGACGCTGTCCTACTGCCAACTCCGAGCCCTGTGTTGACAGAGCTAGAAGGTGCCAGGCACTTTCCAGTCTCCTTGCTTTGGCTTACAAAGATTTCACCTTGCTTTCTTTTTTTTTTTTTTGACGGAGTCTCGCTCTGTCACCCAGGCTGGAGTGCAGCGGCATGACCTCAGCTCACTGCAACCTCCGCCCATTCAGGTTTAAGAAATTCTCTGCCTCAGCCTCTGGAGTAGCTGGGATTACAGGTGCATGCCACCACACCCAGCTAATTTTTTGTATTTTTACTAGAGACAGGGTTTCACCATCTTGGCCAGGCTGGTGTTGAACTCCTGACCTCATGATCCACCCGCCTTGGCCTCCCGAAGTGCTGGGATTACAGGTGTGAGCCTCTGCACCCTGCCTGCCTTGCTTTCTTTCTTATTCTTTTTTTTTTTTTTTTTTTTGAGACACAGTCTCCCTCTGTTGCCCAGGCTGGTGTGCAGTGGTGTGATCTCGGCTCACTGCAACCTCCACCTCCCAGGTTCAAGCAATTCTCCCAGCTCAGCCTCCCGAGTAGCTGGGATTACAGGCGCGCGCCACCACTCAGGGCTGATTTTTGTAATTTTAGTAGAGACAGGGTTTCTTTTTTTTTTTTTTTTTTTTGAGACAGAGTCTCGCTCTGTCGCCCAGGCTGGAGTGCAGTGGCCGGATCTCAGCTCACTGCAAGCTCCGCCTCCCGGGTTCACGCCATTCTCCGGCCTCAGCCTCCCGAGTAGCTGGGACTACAGGCGCCCGCCACCTCGCCCAGCTAGTTTTTTGTATTTCTTAATAGAGACGGGGTTTCACCGTGTTAGCCAGGATGGTCTCGATCTCCTGACCTCCTGATCCGCCCGTCTCGGCCTCCCAAAGTGCTGGGATTACAGGCTTGAGCCACCGCGCCCGGCCAGAGACAGGGTTTCACCATGTTGGCCAGGCTGGTGTCAAACTCCTCACCTCAGATGATCCACCCACCTCAGCCTCCCAAAGTGCTGGGATGACAGGCGTGAGCCACCGTACCCGGCCTGGTTTCTCCTCTCGACGTGCCCTCCCCCTGACAGAACCCAGCTGCCTGGATACTCACTGTAGCCTGCCCTCCGCCGGCCCTCCGGGTACCACGTCAGACACAACCACGGATCCACCGGGCCGGTCTCGGCTTCCAGAGATCGCAATGCCAAAGCCCCGGCGAGGGTCCTGAGAGAGGATACGGGGGAGGAAGAGCTGCTGTTTCCCGCAGGGTAAAGCATCTCCCCTCTATTGAGCTGGGCCGAAGCCACCATGCCCCCTGGCACCCAGACAGGGCGAGGGAGGCCTCACCTTGGACAACGTGGCCGTGTGCTGTTCCCAGATGGTCAGCTCCTCCATATCGGCCACCTGGTCAAGGGGAACGGGGAAGACGGGTGTGAGGTCACACAGGCTCATCCGAGCACTTGGGGGTCCCCAGCCCCAGGATGAGGAGTCAAGCTCTGACAGGCCTGTGGTTGGAGCCTGTGACAAGTTACTACCTCTCTCAGGGCCTCAGGTTTTTTTGTTTGTTTTTTGAGACGGAGTCTCACTCTGTCACCCAAGCTGGAGTGCAGTGGCACAATCTCAGCTCACTGCAAGCTCTATACCTCCCAGGTTCAAGTGATTCTCCTGCCTCAGCCTCCCAAGTAGCTGGGATTACAGGGGTGCACCACCACGCCCGGCTAACTTTTGTATTTTTAATAGAGATGGGGTTTCACCACATTGGCCAGACTGGTCTTTAACTCCTGGCCTCAAGTGATCCACCCACCTCGGCCTCCCAAAGTGCTGGGATTACAGGCGTGAGCCACTGTGCCCGGCCTTGTTTTTTTTTTTGAGGCATAGTCTCACTCTGTTGCCCAGGCTGGGGTGCAGTGGCACAATCTCTGCTCACTGCAGTCTCTGCCTGCCAAGTTCAAGTGAATCTCCTGCCTCAGTCTCCTGAGTAGCTGGGATTACAGGTGCCCGTCACCATGCCGGGCTAATTTTTCTATTTTTAGTAGAGACGGGGTTCGCCATGTTGGCCAGGCTGGTCTCAAACTCCCAACCTCAGGTGATCCACCCACCTCGGCCTCTCAAAATGTTGCGATTATAGGCGTGAGCTACGGCGCCGGGCCCGTACTCAGTTTTGCATCTGCAAAATGGGTCTAAGTCAGTGGCTCTCAAACAGGGGCAATTCTGCTTCGCCCTGGGGACACTGGGCGATGTCTGGGGACACATGTGGTTGTCATGACTTGAGGGAGCTCCTGATATGGAGTGGGTGGAGGCCAGGGACGCTGTTCAGCACCCTGCAGTGCCCAGGACGGCCCCACCCCGGAGAACAATCCAGCTGTGAATGTCAGCAGTGCCAAGGGGGAGAGACCTGGTTGAAGTGAACTGAACAGTAGCAGGTGCAGAGAGAAAGCAAGTTCTTGGTCCCTCTCCCTCTGGAAGGTCTGGCTCAGTTCCCTGGAGAGGATCAAGCCAGGCCTGCAGGGTAGAGGGAGCTCACTCTGCTCCAGCCACTCGGGCCTCCTCACTGTCCCTCCAACACCAACACGCCAGGCGCAGTCCTGCCTCAGGGCCTTTGCACCAGCCGTGCCCTCTGCACGGAGCGCCTTCCCCATATCCCTCACCCTCCTTCAAGGACTTAACTCAAACGTGACCCCCTTGATGAAGTCACCGCTGATCACCCCATTTAGAACTGTAACCCCCTCCTGACCACAACAGACCACCTTTTCCCTCTCTCCTTGGTGTATCTTCCTCCATAGAATTTTCAACCCGGCCGGGCACCATGCCTCACACCTGTAATCCTAGCACTCTGGGGGCCAAGGCAGGTGGATCACCTGAGGTCAGGAGTTTGAGACCAGCCTGGGCAACATGGTGAAACCCCATCTCTACTAAAAATACAAAAATTAGCTGGGTGTGATGGTGCACACTTGTAATCCCAGCTACTCGGGAGGCTGAGACAGGAGAATTGCTTCAACCCGGGAGGCGGAGGTTGCAGTGAGCCAAGATTGCGCCCTGCACTCCAGCCTGGGCAACAGAGCAAGACTCCATCTCAAAAAAAAAGGCAGGCTGGGTGCGATGGCTCATGCCTGTAATCCCAACACCACTTTGGGAGGCCAAGGCAGGCAGATCACCTGAGGTCAGGAGTTCAAAATCAGCCTGGCCAACATGGCAAAATCCAGTCTCTACTAAAAATACAAAAAAAATGAGCAAAGCATGGTGGCGGGTGCCTGAAGTCTCAGCTACTTGGGAGGCTGAGGCAAGAGAATGGCTTAACCTGGGAGGTGGAGGCTGTAGTGAGCTGAGATCGCGCTGTTACACTCCTGCCTGGGCGACAGAGCAAGGCTCCATCTCAAAAAAGAAAAGAAAAAAATTAAAAAAGGAATTTGCAATCCTTGGACATTCTCTCGATTTTTAAAGCCTATTCACTATCCACCCTCACCATCTAGAATATCAGCTCTAGAGGGCAGAGATTTTTGTCTTTGTCCATAACTGAGCCCTCAGTTCCCTGCCTAGAACAGCGCATGAGTTGCAGCAGGGATTCAAGAAGGATTTGCTGAATGAATGAATGAGTGAGTGAGTGAATTAATGAAGCACTTCCTTTGTGCCAGGTGCTTTACATGTACTATCTTTTTTGTTGTTGTTTTTTTGAGACAGTTTCGCTCTTGTTGCCCAGGCTGGAGTGCAGTGGTGCGATCTCAGCTCATTGCAACCTCCGCCTCCTAGCTTCAAGCAATTCTCCTGCCTCAGCCTCCTGAGTAGCTGGGATTACAGGCGCCTGCCACCACGCCCAGCTAATTTTTGTAGTTTTAGTAGAGACGGGGGTCTCACCACATTGACCAGGCTGATCTTGAACTCCAGACCTCAGGTGATCCGCCCGCCTTGGCCTCCCAAAGTGCTAGGATTATAGGCGTGAGCTTCCCCGCCTGGCCGATTCTGTTATTTTCATGTCCATGGCATAGATGAGAACACTAGACTCAGGTGCAAGGTCACCTGGCCACGCCTCCACCCCCCCTTCCCTCCTGCCAGCACAGACCATGCTCTGCTCCCCAGGCAGGGGACAGGTGGAGGGACGGGGGAGGGAGTTTGTAGAAGTAACTCCTCCTCCTCCCCAGCCGGTTTTCCAGGCTTGGCACAGCGGGTGTGTGATTGCCTCTGCCCAGGCACCCCCCATTTTCTTATAAGCTCCAGCGTCTCCAGGGAGGCCAGCATTCCTGATCTCCAGGAGTGAGAAGCGGGGTGGAGGGGAGAGAAACAGAGCAGAGGGCAGGGCTCTGCAGTTCCCAGGGAGGCAGGATAGCACTCAGGACCGGACTCAAATCGCACGTCCGCCCACCCGTGCTAGCTATGGCGGGGCCTCTCCCAGCCTCAGTCTCCCCATCTGTGAAATGGCACCGCTGCCCTGTCTTCCAGGGATGTGGTTTGAGAGAAGGGGACAGATTCAATGCATGACAAGGAGAAGGAGGCTTGGGGAGGTGGCGGCCAAATAATGACTTTCTCCTTTGCGTAGTTGTTTGTTTGTTGGTTGGTTTGTTTGTTTTGAGAAGGAGTTTTTTGCTCTTGTCGCCCAGGCTGGAGTGCAATGGCGTCGTCTCAGCTCACTGCAACCTCCACCTCCTGGGTTCAAGCGATTCTCCTGACTCAGCCTCCTGAATAGCTGGGATTATAGGCACCCACAACCACAGCCAGCTAATGTTTGTACTGTTAGTAGAGACAGGATTTCACCATGTTGGCCAGGCTGTCTTGAACTCCTGACCTCAGGTGATCCTCCTGCCTCGGCCTCCCAAAGCTCTCCTTGTCCATGCTGGCTGCGAGCGGGTGCTTGATGTGGACCTATTCATTTCATCCTCAGAGTGACCTTAGGAAGTGGCACGGCTACTATTCCTACTTTAGCAGTGAGATTAAAAGGGGCCCAGAGAGGTTCAGTAACTTGCCTGAGGTCACACAGCACAGTGGTGAACTTTGGCAGCCTGCCCTGTTCTCTGGCTCTTTTTTGGTTGGTTGGTTGGTTTTTGATACGGGGTTTCACTGTTGCCCAGGCTGGAGTGGCTCAATTACAGCTCACTGCAGCCTTGAACTCCCAGGCTCAAGGGATCCTCCTGCTTCAGCCTCCCGAGAAGCTGGGACCGCAGGCATGCACCACCACACCCGGCATTTTTTTTTTTTTTTCTCTTTGTAGAGATGGGGTTTTTGCTATGTTGACCAAGCTGGTCTCAAATTCCTGGGCCCAAGCGATCCTCCCTCCTCAGGCTCTCAAAGTGTTAGAATTACAGGCGTGAGCCACCGCACCCAGCCTCACTCTTGCTCTTAACCACCAGGCCATAGTGGCTTTCTGATTACTTACTGTTTTTCTTCTGAGCTTAGTTTTCAAAATTGCATCTTTTTTTTTTTTTTAACCTGCTTTGATGTTATACTTTGTGTCATTAAATGGTCCCAGGGCCAGGCACAGTGGCTTCTGCCTATAATCCCGGCACTTTGTGAGACCGAGGCAACAGGATGGCTTGAGCCCAGGAGTTCGAGACCAACCTGAACAACATAGTGAGACCCCCATCTCTACAAAAAATAGAAAAGTTAGCCGGGCGAGGTGGCGGGCACCTGTGGTCCCAGCTCCTCGGGAGGCTGAGGCAGGAGAATGGCGTGAACCCGGGAGGTGGAGCTTGCAGTGAGCCGAGATCGTGCCACTGCACCCCAGCCTAGGCAACAAAGTGAGATTCCTTCTTAAAAAAAAAAAAAAAAAAAAGAGTGAGATTCTGTCTCAAAAAAGAGAGAGAGACAGTCCCAGGGAACCAGGGCCCCAGATGGGGAGAGCGGTGAGGGAGTCCAGGTGGTCCAGGCTTGTCCCAGCTTGTGCGGGTTCGTCTCCACGGAAACCAGAAGCTTTGTCTAAACCCTCCAGAGCTCCACAGTGCCCGACGGATTAAGCCTAACCTCACAGCCCACCTCATCTTAGTTCACCTCCAAACTTTTACCCCGTCTGTCCCCTGAATCTGGAACATGTTTCATGGGATTCCTGCCTGGCTGGCCCCAGCCACTGAAGTCTAGGCTCAAATGCCACCTCCTCAGGAAGTCCTCCCTGACCACCTAACTAACCAGTCTTCTCTGATCCCCAATCACTCCTGCTTGTTTTTTTATTATTATTATTATTACTTTGAGACAGAGTGTCACTCTGTCGCCTAGGCTGGAGTGCAATGGTGCGATCTTGGCTCACTGCAACCTCCACCTCCCGGTTTCCAGCGATTCTCGTGCCTCAGCCTCCCAAGTAGCTAGAATTACAGGCACCCACCACCACCCCCGGCTAATTTTTGTATTTTTAGTAGAGACAGGGTTTCACCATGTTGGTCAGACTGGTCTCAAACTCCTGACCTCAGGTGATCTGCCCGCCTCAGCCTCCCAAAGTGCAGGGATGACAGGCGTGAGCCACCGCGTCCGGCCTCTTTTATGATTTTTTATTCAAGGCATCTAAAAATCATCTTTATTCCCTTTAACCATCAGTTGGTACGGTTCTGGTCTTTTCTCTTCGTCTGTGAAAGGAGGCATGTCTGTCTCTCTGGCTACTTAAGGCCCAGGTGATCGGCCATCAGTCTCCTTTCCAGGCCCTGGGTGCTGGTGCTGGATTCCCTGGCAAACTCCTATTCATCCTTCACAGCCCCAGTCTCTTCCTCCGTACGCATATCATACATCCTTCCGTCTGGCCCAACTGTGATGATTGGGATGTGGGATGTCAGAGTGCATTTCTCCACCCTACACCTTCCCCCTCAGTCTGAGGGCTCCCGATGGGCAGGGATGGGCCCCTGGGACCCCATAAGACCAGGTCCCCCTAGGGAAGAGTTTGAGGAACGAGGGACTGGTTGAATAAAACACACTGTGGCAGGTGCTCAACAGGTGCGTCCTGAGTTCCCGGCCCTGCCCCTGTCCAGGTGAGCTCCGAGAGGGTGGGGCTTGGGTCTTTGTCCCCGCCCCCCGCCCAGGGCTGGACACAAACGCCGAACAAGAGGCCCGCCCAGAGGGGACGGCGGTACCAAGTCACACGGCCCCGGGGCACGGGGCTCCCAGGCCACCGTCCCTTCTCCCCCCCCCCCACTTCCAGAAACAATGGCAGAGGGGGAGGTTTCAGCCAACAGATACACCGACTGGGGAGGGGATTCTGAGAGCTGTACCTGGAGGCCAGGAGGAAGTCAGTGGAAACCAGAAGTGCCAGGTCCTGAAGCTTGGGGCTGAGTGGCCTGGGTCTGGCCACATACCACTGCAACCCCAGTCTACCCTGGCTGGTAGGTGTGAAGGAGCCAGTCCAGGCTCCATGCCTGGAGGGTGAAATCCCTCTGGAGACAAGGATCGCCCCTCCACCCCGCCCCTACCACGGCGCACCCCAGCCAGCTTGCTCACCCCACCCCTGCCTCTGCCTGGTAATGCCTGTTAACGGCTCTGTACACAGTGGGCACCCAATAAATGCTGGTGCTCCCTCCTGCAGCCTTGTAGGAGGTGAATGTTCACCAAAGCCACCCCAGCCCATAAATGAAGTCACTGCCCCCCGTGCCACCATGGGCGCCCGAGCTCAGCCGGCTGCACACCCCCAGCAAAGGGGGATGAACATCTCTCCAGCCCACCTACGATGCGCCAAGCTCTTCAAATACATTTTCCCTCTGTTTAAAATGCTGATCACCCATTTATCAGATGAGGTAAAGAGAGGGTTCACTCACTGGGCCCACGTTACACACAGCATAGTGGACAGAAAATTCGGGATTTGAACCCAGCTCTGTGGGATTAAAGGAGGCCGGTCTTGGCGCAGAGGAGGCTCAGCAGAGATGGTCTTTGGAGGCAGGGATGGGGGGCGCGGAAGCATCTCGAAGTGCAACCTCCAGCTAGCCACTTCATCCCTCTGGGACTCAGTTTCCCTGCCTGTTATGTAGGTAGAAGGTGTTCTGCTGTCCTGGGTCGACTCCCAAACCCTGCTTCCCCCCACCACCCCAGCCCGAACCCCTCCCCCCGCCGCCCTCGGAGGGTTACTCGCCTGGAATCTCACCGCCATGGTCCACCTGGGGGCTCTCCAGCCCCCCTACCCGAGGCGGGGCCTGGAAACAGTCAATCGGCCCCCACCCCGGGCTGGCGAAGGAGGCTGGGGAGGGTCACAGCCTCTGAGGGCCTGGCGGCTCTCGTCCTCCTCCCTCCAGCTCCGCAGCTCCCGGCTGCACCTGCCCCTTCTTCCTCCTCCAGGTCCCAGGCCAGCCCCGCCCCTGCCCAGACACGCCCCCTGGACGCCGCAGAGGTTTCTCTCCCCCCTCCCATCACAGGAGCCAGGTCCTAAGGCGGAAACTCCAGGCCGGGTTATCCACGCAGCCGAGGTGGGGCAGGCAGCCGCGACCAGAACCCCGCCCGACAAGGTTGCCAGCAAGACCCGGCAGGAATAACCCCGCTCTTGGAACGGAGCCTACTATTTGGACGGTGTTTCCGTCCGCGAAATGGGCACATTTTGAGGTGCATCTGGGAGGCCTCTTGGATTAGAAGCTTGTCGAGGGCCGGAGACCTCCTCAGCATAGGGCTGGTCCCTGGGTCACCTTATCTCCGGAAGGTTTGCCCCATTCCCCAGAGGGGAACCTGAGGCCACAGAGACCAGGGGCGTGGACGCCCTGAAGATGCAACAGCGGCTGCGTGCCTCTTTCCTGCGGTCCTGGCCTCCGGGCTCTGTCTTCACACCCAGCACCGAGGAAAGAAAGGGGCAGGGCGGGACTGGGCGCGGTGTCTCCTGCCTGTAATCCCCGAATTTTTTGGGAGGCCGAGGCAAGCGGATCACGAGGTCAGGAGTTCGAGACCAGCCTCACCAACATGTTGAAACCCCCGTCTCTACAAAAAATACAAAAATCAGCCGGTCGTAGTGGCGCATGCCTCAGCTACTCGGGAGACTGAGGAAAGAGAATAGCTTGGGCCGGGCGCGGTGGCTCAAGCCTGTAATCCCAGCACTTTGGGAGGCCGAGACGGGCGGATCACGAGGTCAGGAGATCGAGACCATCCTGTAACTTTGAACCAATTTACAATGTCTACAGCAATCCATGCCAGAATAACATTAATTTTCATTATGAAACTTTTATTTCTTGACTTACTGACTGGGTGGTAGAGGCTACTTCAAACAATTTAATTTCTACTTATTTCCTTCCTAGTGAAGTTGAGTTGTCTTTGATATATCTTGAGTCACTTTAGATGGGTATGCTGTTGAGGTAAATGAGCACCTGTAGTATGGTTTTTGCATTCACTTCAAAGATTTAGTACCAATCATGGCACATAACTGTACTTAAACTTCTAATCTTGCATATAGCTAAACCATAGGAAAATCATATATTTGATAATCCACAGAGATGAATAAAGTTTAGTCCTAAAATAAATAAAGAATACTATTAATTACAGCATGCTATTACCTAGCTGTTTAAAAAACATAGTGATCCTTATATTATTCATATTTAAATCTGCAAACAAAAATATTCCATGGACGTATGTTTTCTACTTTTTTTTTTTTTTTTGTAGACGAGTCTCGCTCTATCCCCCAGGCTGGAGTGCAATGGTGTGATCTTGGCTCACTGCAGCCTCCACCTCCTGGCTTCAAGTGATTCTCCTGCCTCAGCCTCCTGAGTAGCTGGGATTACAGGAACGCGCTACAGTCCGGCTAATTTTGTATTTTCAGTAGAGACGGGGTTTCACCATGTTATTCAGGA